GGGGGGGGGCGTGGATTATGGTTCGATTCCCCTGCTCCTCTGCCTGAGCTCGTAACTCCGATTCCGAGCTTGCACGCGCCACTCGAGCTCACAAGTTCAAAATGCCTTTGTGACCGTCTATAGCCCTATTTCCAACCCTTGCCATCCGCGATGACGCTAGGAGGTCAGGCTCTCCGCGTCTTTCTGATGTATATTCATCAAGCCCGCGGCCGGATCGCCTGTACCGCGCTTCGCCAAGCTTCCGATCGACGTATGGAAGTGGTCAAAGAGAAGCATCGCCTTGGTTTCCGGAAGGGAGGCGCGCATCACCGTTTGCATCTGCCGCAAGCAAAGACTCCCACGGAGACAGCTTCGATCAAAGCATCGGCGGTTCAGGCAGTCTATTCCCATTCGCGAGCATTGCAGGCGGAAAGACCGAAGAGGGTAGAGATAGTCCTAGTCGTAGCACAAGATTGCTTCCGCCACCCGAACGGTATGCGTCTCCAGGTATCCTACCGAGCAACCCAGCAGCATACAGCTTTTCGGGAGGCCAATCTGCTGACAGCAAGTCTGGTCAAGGTCATGCCGGCGCTTTGACGAGCTCTCCATATCGGAGGGGCGGCGAACTTCCGTTCTCGCCATCTCAACTTTCGCGCGAGCCCTTCAAGACAGAAGGGGGAGACGTACACTTGCCGTCCCCTCAAGGGCCCTCAGAAAGCAGATTCGGTCCCCCTGGCGACGATGTCTCTCGCAACAACACCCGCTTTGGACCGCCTGGTGCAGATCTCACACGCGACAGCGGCGCGAGCCCATGGAGCGCTTTAGCAAGCGCGCCCGATAGCTCGGGCCCAGAGGCATCTCAGGCATTGGACGTCAATGTTTCGTCCGAGCCTATGCTGCATTTTCTGCAATCCAACCACAATGTCGTCAGCACGACATCGCCAAATCTTCCCGGCACTTTTGCAGAAGCATCTGGTGCCAACGGACATGGTTCTGTAGATCCTTCCAGCGCACAGCTCACCACGTTCGGACCTCTAACGTCTTCTCAGTACATGAGCCTGGGAGGCTATTCGGCACCTGCGCAACTGGTGAATACCGGCTCCTTACCCCTGCCAAATGCGTCCGCCATAGCTTCCAGTTCGCAGACTGCGATCAAAGAGGAAGAAGATGACAAGCCTCCTCGGAGACCTAGGCCCTCTGGCAACTCTAAAGCAGCTCAAGCCGCCGCTGCGGCTCATCCCACCGCTGAAAGCGATGCAGGAGGTCCGAAATTGCATCGGTGCGAGAATTGCGAGAAAACCTTCAGTAGGCGTTCAGACCTTGCCAGGCATAAGCGCATACATACGGGTGAAAGACCCTACCCGTGCGAATTTCCAGGTTGCGGCAAGAGTTTCATCCAAGTGAGTGCACTGCGCCTGATTGCTGCACCAGCATTCCGGACAATTGACGCGCGGTACGATGTCCTCTGCTTTCAGCGCTCGGCTCTCACTGTGCATTCCCGTGTGCACTCAGGAGAGCGCCCTCACAGATGCGAGTTTCCAGGATGCGGCAAGAGCTTCTCCGACTCTTCGTCGCTTGCGCGACATCGACGCACTCATTCGGGCCGGCGACCATATGTGTGCCAGCATCCGAAATGTGGAAAGCAGTTTACACGCCGAACAACGCTCAACCGCCATGCGAGATGTCACCAGCCAGGGTACGTCAAGCCTCAAAGCAAATCGTGAGTTCGAATCATGCTTCGAGGCAGCGTAGGTCCGCGTCTGCTAATTACGATCCCTTCATCTATTCTGTAGCGGAAAGAAGCGAGAGGACGGTGCGAGCGAGTCTGATGAGGAGTCGGACGGCTCTGACGCCGAAGACGAAGAGGGCGACTCTTCGAAGCAATGGACGGACGAGGAAGCTGGAGCAGACGAATCGACCTCGAAGGTCCAAGTCAAGCAAGACCCCGCAGCTGCAGCTTCTCCCCCTACTGCAACAGAGGAGCAACCTGCCGCTGTACCCGCTGCAAAGCCGAAGCGCAAGTCTACGAAACGAGCGGCTCCCTCAGCGAAGGCCCAGAGCAAGGCGCGGAAGAGCAACCAGGAGGAGGACACGGCTACGAGAAATCGAAGCCGTTCGGATGCTGAAGCTGCCATGACGCTTGCATCTGCTGCTCTCTTTGCTCAACAGCAATCGCCGAATGCAGGTTTCGTCGACGGTATGGCGACCCCGATGTCCTCATCAGCTTTTGGCCATGGCCGCACCCAAAGTCAGTCGGAGATGGAGTCACCGGCCAAGGTCTTGGCTGGTATGGCGGTAGGTGGCCATTTTGGCAACTCGTCTTTCATGAACCCTGGTCATTACGGGGATGCGAGCATGACGCTGGCACCTGAGCAAGCTGCCGCTATGAGCCTATCTGGTCTGGCCGGGCTGTCTTCCGCCAATCATATGGTGCCACCGCTTCCAGGAGGCCTGGGAGGTCTGAGCGAGGCTGCTGCGCTGGCTTCCGCAGCGGTCGCAGCTAGCAATCCTGGTGCAACCTCTGGCAACCCTTCGATGGATTACAGCCTTGGCACGTCTGCCCCGGGGCACATGATCAATGGCGCATCCCCTTCGCTTGTAGGGC